ACCTATTCCCCAGAAATCTTCCTTGACATCTCATTCTCTCTCTTATCTTCATAACATTTTTATTTGCATATTATCACTCCCTCCTCACTGGAATTTAAGTTCCATGGAGGTTTTCTGGTCTCTATAAAATCTTCAGTGCCTAAAAGTGCCTACCATATAGTAGGTACCTAAAAAAACATTTATTGGATAAATCAGGTAGTATTTTTTTAAATATTTTTTAGTTGTTGATATACCTTTATTTTTTATTTATTTATATGTGGTGCTAAGGATTGAAACCAGTGCCTCACACATGCTAGGCACAACCCCAGCCCCTAAATCAGGTAGTATTAATTAGGTAGTATTAAATCTAAAGTTCAGAAATTTTTCAAATGGGAATATTATTTTTAGCCAAATAAGAACTTACTGTAGAGACTCACCAGGAACTGAAAACAGAAATGTCGCTGTCATTGCTACCATCAACATGGTTGGTCTGTGGTTTGGATACATTCACAGTGCTCTAAGACCTTTGTCCAAGATCCAGTACCAGACAGCTAATATGCTCAGGAGCCAGTGACCCTCAAATGACAGGAGGTAATATGAGAAAACTAAAACTCATTACCATTCTAAATTAATGACTTTGGCCATACACTGTCAGTATCCACCGAGCCGCCCTCATTTCTAGTCATCCTGCCAGGAAATTTACAGAAACAAATTCAGTCACAAAGCAATAAAGGGCCCTGCTGTGAGGGATCCAATTCCACTAATTCATTCATTCAAGTCATTTATTCTATTCATTCTGTAAGCTTTCATTGAGTGGATACTATGTGCCAAACACTGCTAGAGGCCTAGGCTAAAATATTTCTGGCAGAGTGTTTACTCTTGTTTTTGTTCCAGTCATGGTAGTTGTTATCCCTGTCACCGACATCTTCATTATTCATGCAAAGCTGAAGGCATGTAAGGGTTCTCATGGGAACCTAAGGAATGGCATTAGGTGTCCCAGACTTGTTTTTCCCACCATGGAAGGTGATATTCACACTTATCAAACAATCCCACCTACAACCACCAGCAAGTTGCTTTCTCCTAAGAACTGAACTCTCTGTCCCGGAATAGCACCTCTGTTAATTGAGTCACAGGGATAAAGAGAAACATTTGATCTTATTTCAGAGGGGAAACTCCAGTACCCAACTTTGGCACTATTTTCCCTGTTATAATTTAATCCTAAGAATCCTGTAAACCCTTAGGATGATAATGAATAAATAAATGGCTGAGTGCACTGAATCCTTATTTCAATCTAAGAGCTTGATCTTGGCATCTACCATTTTTAAATGTTTCACATGATCAGTTGTAACTTACAATGATACAATAGAAACTATTTAGGAGCTAAATAGTTTCTGACCAAGATGCTGAAAACTGTTTGTGAATTTAGAAATATTTGATAACACACAAGAAATCAGAAGGTTAAACTTTTACAGACTTTTTAAAAAACAACAGTAAGACCTAACACCTTGTAAAATAAATTAGGAATAAGAAAGATTCACCTGTGTTAAAATTTGTTGAAGACCTAAAGCTATTTTTGAACACTTCAAACAACCCCCTTCTGTTTGACTCTCATCAAGAACTTCCTTTACCTCCTTGGAATCTTGATTTTCTTTAAAATATCCGTAGGGCTTCTCTGCTTTTCCCAGGTGGGCCTATTGTCACTAAGGGCTCTTAACATGATGCATTCATTTCCTTAGGCTGCTATAACAAATTACCACAAAGTGGGTAGTTTAACTCAACAGAAATGCATTCCCTCTCAGTTCTAAAGGGGAGAAATATGAAATCAAAGTGTCTGCAGAGCCATCCTCTCTTTGATGGCTCCAGGATGCATCCTTCCTTCCCTCTTTCAGTCCCTGGTAGTGGCCAGTAATCCTTGGCATCCATTGGTTTGCAGCTGAACCACTCCAATCTCTAACTCCATCTTCACTCACATAGCTGCCCTCCCTCTATGTGTGTCTCCTCCAAATCTCCCTCTTCTTATAAAGACACCAGTCATTGGATTTAGAACTATTCCAATCCAGTGTGACCCCATCTGAACTTGATTACATCTGAAAATACCCTATATCCAAATAAGGTCACCTTCACAAGCATCAGAGGTTTAGATTTCAATTATCATTTTGGAAGGCACAGTTCAATCCACAACACCCAAATTCTGAGACTTCTAAATCTGAAAAAAAAAAATCCTACCAAATGAAATTCTAAACATGAGGTAGCTCTTAGCCTCCCATGGCCTTCTCAATGAAACTGGAACACTGCCTTTCTGTCTTTAAAAGTTTGTTGCCAGTTAATATGAAACAACTTTCCTTCCCTACCCCTTCTTTCCTTCACTACTTCCTTTCTTCCCTTTTTCCCCCCTCCCTTCCTTCTCTCCTGACTCTTTTCATTTCTTTCAACATTTTTTTCTCCTCACAAATACTTAAAAACTCTTTACAATGTGATAGCTTCATTATGGTGCAACAGAGGACAGAAATCTAAAGTCAAATTTCCCACATTCAAAATTCAACCCACAGAAATGCCCAATTCTAAGCCTGAACAAAAGAATCAGTAAGAAGATTACGTTGTACCTAAAAATCAAATTATAAGGCAGAAAGAAGTGATTGCCATAAGAGAGTCATAAGCACAATGGCACAAAAATACTGAGAAAATAAATCAATTCCTGCTAGAAAGAATCAAGTTTGACCCTAAACAATATATAGGATTTGGATTTTTTAGAGATTTTGGAAAGAGAGATCCAAGTTGAACTGGGTGCAAAGGCATCAAGACAAGAAAATACAGCACATTTATACACTTCTCAGTGTGTCAGAGGCCTTTTCATATGTCTTTGCTACAGATCCATTTCCAGAAATTTTAACAGAAAAGAGATTGCGGGAGGGGAGGGAATTACCAAAAAACACGATCATCTTGGTTGGCGATATAGATAGATAGATAGATAGATAGATAGATAGATAGATAGATAGATAGATAGATATTATAATATTTTTTATAATTTTTTTCAAATTTTCTTTAATGAGCATACATGGTTTTTAGGAAAAATAGTATTTTAATTTTTCAAGAAAGATTTTAGAATCACCTCAAAATTGTTATTCCAAAAAAGAGAAGTCTAATCTTGAGATACTGAATCATAACTGAGACAACTACAATCATGTTGATTACCGCACAGGGGAAGAAAATGGCCAGGACAGGTAGTTGATCAATCAGGTGGTTCCTGCAGATTTCTGCAGACATTTTAGTCTCTACATGAAGGACAGCATAATGTGGGATTTTCCTTTTTGGTAAGTAATGTCTGCCCTCTGCTGGTGACTCTGAAGTTACCAACAGCAAGAGTTTGCCTTTTCATCTCCCAAGACAAAAGAGATAAAGAAGCAAAAAAAATGTAAAATCACCATTCTGATCTTAAAGACATTATTTTTGTTACTTTGACAGTTTTTTTAATTCTTTAAGATACTCCTGCATCAGAGAGAAAAACCCATTTGTTCACTCCCACTCTTGAGCCAGTAGTACAGCCAGCCCCAGCCAGCCAGGCCAGAGGAACAGGCATTCATTCACTTGACAACAGGGCAGTTTTGTAAAGTATACAGGAACAGGGGATGGGTGCAGTACCTGCATGGTACTTGGTGGTGGGAAAGGAGTTTGGAGAAAATGATGTGGAGAGTCATTCATTCAGAAAGTAATCAGATGCATCTACCAACTCAAGGTCTTAGATTAGGGTTTTTCTGAATTATGCAAAATTCTCAACATCAACGTATTATCTTTCAAGACTGGCTAATTTTTATTATGGGGCTGTTCTGTGTAGTCTAGGATGCTTAGCAACATCCTAGCCTCTAGCCACCAGGTCCCCCTGAACTATGATAACCCCAAAATATCTCCAGACATCGCCAAATGCCTCTCCCCTATACTGGGAAAGGGGTAAATTGTCCCCTGCTAAGAACCACAAGTTAGACCCAGCCTCATTTCCTTTTAAATTCAAGATATATTCACAAACCATCACTCTTCTGTGTGCAAATGTTCAGGGATGGTAAGGACTAAGAACTCTCTATTTCCTCCTGTGCCAAGTCTTCTCCTGGGGTTTGATTTCATGAACTGTAAAAAGCTGATATCATAACGTATCTTCTAAGACTATTGTTTGTTTAGTTAACAAAAACTTACTAAGTGTTCTGAGGACCTTCGTGACATGAAACAAGCCAGAAAAATGAGATCCCTATGAGGAGCATATAGCACTGGACAGATGTGCTTCCAAAGTAAAATGAATAACCAGTCCCTGGAAGGCAGCATTTTAAGAAAGAAGCATTGTGGATCCACAACCTCTTATTCACATTTCTGCAATCAAAAAAATAAACAAACACTGAGTTGTAGATTTAGTTCAGTGGCAGAGCACAGAGCACAGAGAACTTGCCTAGTATGCACAAGGCATACAGTTCAATTCTCAGTCCTGAAAATACAATACATACACACACGCTGAAAATATTTTTTCCTTGCATTTGATATTGAAGTCTATATGGTGGCACAACCTGAGCTGACATAAATGAGGCTATTTTAGTTTTCATTTGTCCTATTGAGTACAAATATTCATATTTTTCTGTACACATATTAATTTGTTTGGCATAAGGGCTTTCCTCAGACTGCTAGGGATATCACACAACAATATCATAGATAACTGTTTTAATTTTCTGAATTCCAAAACAATCCCAATTTTAAAACACATATGGCCCCAAGGGCTTTGGATAAGGGCACATAAATTAACAAGGAAATGAGCAAAACAAGAGCTAACAATTTTACAGTCTACATACTCACTATTTTTCATTTGCATCTTTTACCATGCCAGACAAACTATGAGCTTATGAAATAAATAGGGGAGGAAATGGAGTGTGAGTTTGCAGATAAGGCATGTAAATTTTGTCCCTTGAACAACATAAGTTGCGCCATCCAAAGAAACTAGTCACTATTTACACTCATCACCCTGGGAGACAAGAAAGAGGTCATACCTGATTGCAGATGCAGCGTGGTCCCTCTCTGCAGCTCCCTATGAAATGGGGCTTCTCTCCAGCTTCAGCTAGCAGGAACCCACTTCAGCTTACCCAGTAACTGCCCTGGGTAAGCTTTCTTCATGCCCATTCAGCCCTCCCCATCTTCTCACTAATGTATTTGTTCGTATCTAGAATATTTTTAGCCTCTAGTACATGCCAGACACTGTGCTTGCCACAGCAACCTTCTCTTTCTGCCTCTTTTTTCTGGGGAGAGGGAGATATCATGCTTTTTTGTTATTCAGAAAACAGTGGAATAAAAGAAATTTTCAAGTTATCTTCTAAAATATATCTTTAGGATTTTCATATAAACCATTGAATTATTCCATGATTAACAGATGTGAGTTTACTTTTCCTTTATATGATATACATATGTAATTATCAGCAAATCATGTGGATCTTTGGACATTATGTCTTCCCAAATGAAACTGAAACCAGCATGTGAGATGAAACCCAACTGTCCACTTCTGTTGGCAGGTAGAGTCTGCCTAAGCTGAAGACCTCTGCAGCCAAGAAAGCCCACTTTAGTGTTAGCAGCTAATTACAGCAGGGGATGCCTCCTGGCATCAGCAAGAATCACAGCCAGCAAAGCCAGATTCTTCACTACTAACAAGTGGTGTATTACAGTTCTTAATGGCAGGCTATGCCCTCCAAGATCAGAGCAAACCTCAACAACTCACTGCCACCTTCTTCTTTCCAGGTCCTTTTTTTTTTTTAATAAATGACAGCAGAATGCATTACAGTTCTTATTACACTTATAAGAACAATTTTTCCTATCTCTGGTTATATACAAAGTATATTCACACCAATTCGTATCTTCACACATGTACTTTGGATAATGATGTCCATCACATTCCACCATCTTTGCTAAACCCCTGCCCCTTCTCTTTCCCTCAAACCCCTTTGCCCTATCTAGAATTCATCTATTCCTCCCATGGCCCCCTCCCTACCCCACTATGAGTCAGCCTCCTTATATCAGAGAAAACATTCGGCATTTGTTTTTTGGGGATTGGCTAACTTCACTTAGCATTATCTTCTCCAACACCATCCATTTACCCACAAATGCCATGGTTTTATTCTCTTTTAATGCTGAGTAAAATTACACTGTGTATATATGCCACGTTTATTTTATCCATTTTTCCACTGAAGGGCATCCAGGTTGGTTCCACAGGTTAGCTATTGTGAATTGTGCTGATATAAACATTGATGTGGCTGTGTTCCTATAGCTGTTTTTTAAGTCTTTTGGGTATAGATCGAGGAGAGGGATAGCTGAGTCAAATGGCGGTTCCATTCCCAGCTTTCCAAGGAATCTCCGTACTGCTTTCCAGATTGACTACACCAATTTGTAGGCCCACCAGCAAAGTATGAGTATGCCTTTTCCCCACATCCTCGCCAACACTTATTGTTATTTGTGTTCATAATAGCTGCCATTCTGACTGGAGTGAGATGATATCTTAGAGTAGTTTTGATTTGCATTTTTCTGATTGCTAAAGATGATGAACATTTTTTCATATATTTGTTGATTGATTGTATATCTTCTCCCAAGAAACGTCTGTTCAGTTCCTTGGTCCATTTGTTGATTGGGTTATTTGCTTTTTTGGTGCATAGCTTTTTGAGTTCTTTATATACCCTAGAGATTAGTGCTTTATCTGATGTGTGAGGAGTAAAGATTTGCTCCCAGGATGTAGGCTCTCTGTTCACCTCACAGATTGTTGCTTTTGCTGAGAAGAAACTTTTTAGTTGGATTCCATCCCATTTATTGATTCTTGGTTTTAATTTTTGCACTATAGGAGTCTTATTAAGGAAGTTGGGGCCTAATCCCATATAATGAAGATTAGGGCCTACTTTTTCTTCTATTAGACATAGAGACTCTGGTTTAATTCCTAGGTCCTTGATCCACTTTGAGTTGAGTTTTGGCATGGTGAGAGATAGGGGTTTAATTTCATTTTGTTTCATATGGATTTTTCCAGGTTCTTATCTATGAATTTGAAGAATGAAATCCAAGGATAGTAACAAAAGGCAAGAGTGAAAGGAGTATGATTTATTCAAGTGAGTGAGAAGAAAAGAGAACTTTGCAAAGAGAAAGGGGAACCAAGAGCTAACAGGTTGCTGCCTATATGTACTAGTCTAAGGGTTTATATAGCTGTCTAGCCAATGCAATTGGTCAAATTTTATGTTAATAAGGTCTTACAAAAGTACTAACACTATATTGGTCAAAATCTATGCTAAACAAATATTGGGAAAGTACCAATGCTGTTGGTTAGCCCTTGAATGTGAACTTTTCTGTAGCCTCCATTTGGGTCTGCCCCCACTTCCATTTTCCCACTGCTATGGGACAAAAGCTTGGATTCAATGTAAGTTAAATTGCTTTTGTGTTATTGTTATTGTAAAGGGAATCTAAGTCCATAAAAGCATTCACCCATTATTGTGTTTGTTTATGCTTCTCTCACCCCCAGTATACCAAATAACTCTTTAAGAACTTCTTTGTATTTACCAACTATAGGTGCTTAATAAATATTGGATGAATTAATATAAGAATGTTCTTCTAACCTTCAAGTTGAAGATTTGCTGCTTTATTACTGAGCTCAGTGGCTGTTTCCTGTTCTTTAAGACAAGAGTTGCAGCCAATACTTAGATATGTATAGGATTTTGCAATTTTCTAAGGGGTTTTCATGTACTTTAAAAATAAAAGTTACATTAAATCAATCCAAAAAAATAATACATGTTGTCCACAGGAGTGGTAGGTAGCAAGCTTCCCTTTTACACTTAATGGAGTTAGGAGAAGTTCTTTCCTCCCTTCCAAGTGGTTCAATAAACACTGGCCTTGAAAGGCAGAATTTGAAAGTGTACATTTCAGATGCCAAGAGAAGCATCGCTACCCTCTTCAACTGAAAGAAAATGAAGAAGTAAAGAATGTAAACAGCATCAAAAGGAATACAAGTTGGGACTCAGTAAAATTCTGTAAAATAAACTATGTGGAGCAAGGAAATGCTTTCCCAAAAAAGGTACAGAATCACTATTGATAATGGCAAACACTGATTCCAAAATTGCTCCATTCAAGGGGTTTTGATTCAATTTTCCCATAGAAGAAAACTGACCACTAGAGGGTGCTATACCAAAATCCAATGAAACTCCCTCAGTGAGCTTCCATAAAGCAAGCGGTATTAAAGACCTACCATCAAATTCTCAATGCTCTCAGGACTGATTTCCCAACCAACTCTCCATGAACTATGTTCTATGGAAAAGAATTCAGTCTTCTTCTCTAGACTTCAAAATTGTGATACCACTTCTTAGAAACAGAGAGACACAAAGTATCAACACTACCTGAGTCTGGAACCTGCTTCTTAGTTTTAACCTGATACCTATATGAGTGGTGCCTGTCCTATCCTTGAATCTGCTTGTGAACATAGAAACTTACTTAATTCGTTTTCCATTTCCCTTAAGTACACTGATGACAAGTAAATCAGAATTTAAGAACACACAAGGCTTTTAGATTTAACAATTAATAATTAAGATTAAGAGAATTGCTTGTCATTTAGAAACACCAGGATTCATCCTTTTAATTGCCATCTGGATTTCTTGTAAATTATTTGATTTGTCTAAGCCTTATTTACTTTCATTCAAAAGCCCTCAAATTTTGCTAATTTGGCATGCCAGAGATTCAGCTAAAAAAAAATAATAAAATGAAATATGAAGGAGCACAGCATACTTGAACCATAATGGTGGTAAGAAAGTATGGGAAGTAGGCGAGACCTGCTTACCAATCACATTAGTCATCATCAGTTACGTGTGGGACCATGAGCAAGTCACTGCACCTCCCTTAACCTTAGAGACAAAAATGGACTGGAAGAGAGGATTTAGTTTTCTATATTTAAGTAAACATCTTCTTCCATAATGGAAGGGGAATAGTTTATCAATGCCCTGGCTTTATAGAGATGGCGAACAGATTCCATTTGGTTTTACCTATGTCCATGAGGTTTTCCCTAGCATTCTATATCTTCTCCAGGTCCCCAGAATCACGTCCCCCATCAATCACAGAAGTGGAGCTCATGAATGTGGGACAGATGTTCCAATGCTGACTGTAAGTCTTTGGACTTGTCACAAGTGTACTCAATTACATGTGTCAGAAGGAAAATAGTGGACTAAGTGAGGTGTCCATTTCTCTCATGTAACCAAGAAACTGAGTAGCAGGTAACCCAGGCTTGGCTGCTCAAGCAACAGGTTCCTTCTACTCCCTCTGTTCTGCCATTCTTAGCAAGTAGTCACAAAATGGCTGGGCATCTTTGAGCATCCTGTTTCCACTGCAGGCAGGAAAAGGGGAAAAGGAAAAAACAAAGGGCTTATACCAGTGAGCTGTCCGTTGGTCTTAGAAAAATAATAGCTTCCCTTCCAGAAGCCTTATCCAGGGGAAGATGTCAGTGTTCCATTTACATCTCATTGGCAGCGCTATCCATGTGACCATGAAAGAAGCCTAAGTATTTTTTTGATGGGCACATTGTCAGATTGAACCAAATTAAAGATATAACAGCAGGAGGAAAAAGGAAAATGGAAACTGAGTAGGCTACTAGTTGCATATGCCATAGGAAGGAGAAATGTATTGAGACACAAATTGGGGGAGGGGGTATTCATATTAGGCATTGGAGGATATGCAGATGGCTATCTAAGAAGGAATCCTCACCATATACCAATAAGACATCCACTAATGAAGCTTCTCCTTATGGGGTCTCAGTACCCATTCCAATGGAGACTTGGTTCCATTTGACACCACACATAGATGAGCCATTTTTCAATACCTAATGAGCCAGCAGAGCCTGGACATCTCTCTCTCTCTTTTTCTTTTTCCATAATTTTTATTGGTGCTTTATACTTATACATAATGGTGGGATTTGTAGTTACATATTCATATATCCACACATTATAACATTATAATTTGGCCAATATTACTCCCCATCACTTCTCCCCTTCCTCCCCTGGGCCCTTTCCTCTGTTCTACTAATCTCCCTTTGATTTTCATGAGATTCCCTCAAATTTTCTTTTCCTTTTTCCTCTCTAGTTTCCACATATAAGAGAAAATATGTGACCACTGACCTTCTGAGTTTGGCTTCTTTGACTTAACATGTTCTCAAGTTCCATCCATTTTCCTGCAAATAACATAATTTCACT